GATTGCTGCAAAAAATGTGTCTCAAGGTTGACCTGATTGAAGGTGAGGTAAGTTCATCTGCAGCCTTTGAATACTAAGTCCTGTTAAAGTTATGAAAGGCTTGGCTGTATGAAAATACCTGGAAGAGAGTCTGGAAGGATTGAGTTGAGGCCAACTATTCATGGAGACCATGTGTTAGAACGAACCTCAGTTCCTGCAGAAGGTCCGAAATACTTTGCCTGGCCAAGATCTCCGATTGCTATGTGCCTAAGCGCTCTAAAGCGTCTTGCACAGACCTCAACCTTCTGTTGCTGGATGCTGGAACTGGCAAATTCATGGGGTGGTTCACGCCGTCCACTAAGCACAGGATGAGGTGTATCAGAAACTTGGCGTAAACCACTAGTTAATGCTTCTTCTAGCTGGAGGATTCTAATGCATTCAAGGTTCATGAGCGCAAAGAAACGCGTTTCAACTAGTTTCACGACACACCTCGCCTGAAGCTTTTGGATCTCTTGAATGCAGCTGTTGTGTCCCATCTAATATATACCTTGTTCCTTTCCCAGGTACAAGGTTCCTAGAAAGGCGGCAATTGAGCTCATACTGAAGGGTGAAGCATTATACAGACACACCGTGAGGACTAAATGCCATCCAGTCAATAAGCATGACGATGATATGTGGGACAGAATGTACCAAATATCTTCGCACCCTCTGCGAACTAAAGGGTAGCGAATAAACGATCGAATGTCCGAGTAATATTGATGGCCCATACCACAGGTCGAACAAGGAACCTTTGCCCGAATTAATATATTTGAAAAAGTAAGCTAAAGAATCGCACACCTTTTTATCGCATCTCAACTTCATTCGCTTGCACTCCTTACAAACCGGAGTCACCTAAAGGTTGAAAGGGCCAAGAAAGATCGTGAGGCGTGCCGCTCACGGTCTGAGATGCCATCGAGCACTTTCAGGATGCTGGAAAGACAGGGTAGACTGAAAGAATTTCAGCGAGCCGATGGTAGATATGGCAAGCAAGAGTTGGAGATGTTCATGAACAAAAGTCAAGGAATTGGCGCCCCGCTTCTAAAATCCCACCGAATTCAGGGTCGACAACAAAGCTGAGGGACCATGCTCTGTACGAAAAGTCACACTTCTAGTGAAGCAAAGGAAAAAAGTAGCTCCTGCCTGGAATCGAACCAGGGTTACGGGAAATTTCAAGTCAGAATCCCGGGTGATAGCCTCTACACTACAGAAGCATCGGAAATCGGCATGTCATATCCAAATAATAGAGCATCAGATGTTTGAAATACTTGCTTGTTCAATTCTACGACCGCCTCAGTATAAATATTTTTCAAGCCACTTCCAGGTCGCTGCGGGGAGACCACACGACACTGAGAAGGGGGAAAGAAAGCTGTGACGTGGGGTGTAGTATCATGACAAGCAGGAAGGACGGAACCACCACCCGACTCTCTTGCGATGCATAACTCTAAATATCGAATGGTTCTTCGCCTGGTACCACTCTCGAGAACTTAGGTCACGTCAATATATCCGATAAGGGGCAGTCGAATATATTCTAATTCCTGAATACTATTTGCGAAAGCAGTTTTTCCAGCAACTTTCTCTCGTAGAATCTCCATCCCGAGTGAAGACCTAGAACGCAGTCTTTTGAGTATATTACGTTGCAAGTGGGGTGGGTTATCTAGTCTTGACTCCTTTTGACATTGAGAGCACGGCTCGAAACTTTTGACTCATCATGCATCTCTCGAGTCCTTTAAAGCATCTCTGCGTTCTCGTCTATTATCAAGGTGATCTATCGGCATGACAAGCTCTGTGGGGGCTCCCCGGCAGCTGGCTGCGACTTCTACTTGCGACGCCAACTGACTTGGTGTGGCTATGTACGAGGATCGCCAACAGGTCTCGCTCTCCCCTTAACCAATTTCGGTCTATCAAGATAGCTAGCTCCTACCTGGGTGGTAACCCATTCTGGTAGTTGGTACTGTTATCCACAGGCCTGAAGCGGTTAGAGCGATATTCACAAATTTTTGGGCTTTAATATACCACATTTAGTGGATGAACATGCTGAAACGCCCGTTCTCATTATGAAGTACTATTGATACCCTATTATTCGGTCTAAAAGATTTCAATGACTAAATTTTTCTAGAAAGAGAGGCTCATCACCTTTAAGACGTTTGGATGCTCGTGTAACCATTGTTCAACGTTGGTGACCTCAATTGCCTTTTGCACGTTGTACGTTTTATCTATATCCCACCACGTTCCCCGACCTTCTGCGAAGACTAGACGGTATTTGCTTAGCATATCTTCCGGGTTTACTTCCAATTGTCTTCTCAAATAGTCCAATGTCCATTCTGCCTTCTTTTGACCAACAAGTTCTGCGAGACGTCCATATGAAATGGTATCACCTCCAACGTATACCACCTGGTTGCGAATTTCGCTATCAAAGACAATCTGCGCCGCGAGACGTCCGATATCTTCAACAGCAGTGACGGTAACTTGAGTGTCCCAACTCCCTAGCGCCGTGACCCCTTCTCCCTTCCGAAAAACTCCGAAAAAGTCTTCGAAGAGAAAGGACATAAACATTCCCGTGCTGACAATCACCCAATCCACGCGCTCCTGGTTCTCCCGGAGATACGTACGAACATCGAGTTGATCAGCAAATATACCTCCGGCTGCCTCCTTCCCAATTGCATCGTATTCAATTCCCCATTGCCAAGGGATGTACCGCTTGACGCTCCCGGATCGAACTACTGCTTGTGCGAGTGCGAGTTGGAGGTTGTGACTAGTACTGAATCCGGTGCATCCGATTACAGTGTCAAAAGGGTTAAAAAGTGTGGCGAGATGGTCAACACTGCTCGTGGAAGCAGACAGGTCTGCAGCAACAAAGGAGATGTTAAGGCCGTGTAAAGAGTCTATCAGACGTGCTTTGGCTGGGTCCGCAGAGTTGATCGTAGTATCACGAAGCAGGACTGACAGCGCAGTCTGACCACTTTGGACTTCTCGGCGTTTCGCGAGGTTTTGGAGAATGGGAATACCGAGTTCACCGGCACCAAGAACTAGTATGGCTTTGGGAGACATGAAAGTCGTAGTTTGAGGGTTCAGAGGGTCAGTAAGCCAACAGTAACCTTATAAGTAAGCTGCCTTACAATTAGCTTACCAATAAAAAGATGACAGTGGAGCTCCATGGCCCCCACACGGAGGAGATCAAAAGAAAAGAAAGTCTATGTTCAGCTATAATCTGGTGACAACGGTGTGTGCCAAAGGCAAGATCGCAGTCGTTGTTGGCGCAGGGAAGCAGAAAGGCACCAAGGAACAGAGTTCTAGAATTCAAGTTCTTTCAGACACATTGTTGCGATGGTAAATGCTCTTGACACCACAATAGTTTTAAGCAGCTAAAGATAGCGACCCTTGAGTAAAGTCCAGAATGTACCTGGGGCGAAAAGGGGACGTGATGGTACAAGGTCAAGATGCTTTTTTGCTTTCTGCCACCAATCCGCCGACATATCCCAGCCTTCCTGTTGCGCACCCGTGTATATCGCATCTTCACTCAGTTTATTAGGAAGCGTATCTTTGGTCAGCAACAAGATGCGATCGCTCAGGAATCGAGCTTAATCAAGACGCGTGGACAAAGCATGTGACACTCCTCAAACACGTCGTGACTGCTCGTGTCGGGGCTCGACTTGCAAGTTGCCAAGCCCAGAGGGAACGTGTAACACAGCTAGGAATAAGGTTACAAAAAAGAGATCCACATGCCTTGTTGGCGGGTTCAGGCCAGTCTTACTATGACTCTGTTGTCTGCCTCAAGGTGTTAACCTGGGTTTGACTCTCTTAAGCTTTGTTCACGACACTTAGATTGCTCTGCCACACATTTCCTTCAACGACATTGCTCTTAGAACTGCTTCCGGCACCCTTGGCTCCTCTTGTGCTCGTATCTAGACCTGCTCTACTGGCCTTCACGCGGCGGCTGACCTTCCGTGAAACGGGATCACCACATTCCAACGTTTCTGAAATTTGTCATTCCCGTGCGACCACGGAAGCTTACACAGAGGTTCCGCTACCCCATATTTTTGCGACAGATCGTCAGTCAAATTCGCTTCGCTTCCGCTTTCCATTTTCTCGGAACTCCTCGTTCGCTTTCTATCTTGGATATGGCAAACGGTTAACTATCAAAGGTAGTGATTGAGGTTTACCTAACTGATTCTTTTCTTCGATTGTTAGCTGTTACTGACCGCCATCAAATTTTCAACGCTTTCCTTCCGAAATTCACTTTCGCACCGGCATCTAGGCATAACTGATAACTCCGATTGCGAGTCGACTTCTCTGTGCCTTGACTGCACAAGTTCGCGATCATTGGCAATCACCTTCTTGGGTTTTTTAAAGTTCTTATGAAGAAATTCAGAATACGCGTTGATTACCGGCCCGCTCTGACAACGACCCCAAAGCCTCTCCAAGCTCCCTTCTAGTTCATGTACTGTCTACTTTCAGGCTCGTCAACCAATCACGGCGGAGGTATGCCTCCGGGATTTTCGCGGGATGGTTGCCATTTGCAGTTAGAACTGTTTATCCTTGAGGGCCTCTGAATCTTACGAGAGGAACTCTATGCTTTGCGCTGTTCTTGTGATTTTCTTCGTGCGACCCTGTTCCATCTTTTGGCAACACGTGCATTGATCTTGAATAGCCCCATTCAAGAAGCTGGTCCGTCAATCTTAGGTTTCTACACCAGGTTGAAGGTGCTGACAGGAGTTCCAGACCGCCTAAGGTGACCATGGCCATGTCTTTTATTCCAAATCTCTCCAATGTATTCCCAGCATATATCATACCGTGGGTCCAAGTTCAGCACCGGTTGCGCAAAGAGTCGATCCGCACGTGTGCTTCTTTCGAAAGCCTATTCAAGTCCTCCGCCGCCTGCTCGAAAAAAGCTAATGACTCACCAACTCCAAGTTTCCAAATGTGTGGCAAAAGACCCATGTGCTCTTGGATAGCTCCAGACAGACCCCAACAGAAGACAAGAAAGAATCGTCCCAAAATAACAGGCAAAGAGGTGATGTAAAGCTATGTTTTCTTTGATCATCCCCTCACCACCTTGCGACCGCCTCGCTTAAAAGGGTACCGCGCACGCGTCGTTCTGTTTGTCTTGTCTCTCAATGGATACGCTGCCCCCAGAGCTGCATCGTCTGATATTCAGCCATGCCTGCACTGACCATGGTGGAACTGTCAGGGCACTCAACCTCACCTGCCGCTATTACCATCAGATCGTGCGCCCAAGCCTCTATGAACTCGTTTGGTTCAATTGGGAGCCTACAAACCCAGACCATTCACTTGAACGATTAAAAGGTCTACTTGAGACGTTAACCCACCATCTCGCTCTTCCCGAGTCCCTTCCGGTTCGTTTCGTGTGGCTTGCCGCCACTTGTCCGTCTCTTGACGCGTCTCCAGAAGACGATATCCCTAAACCACCTCCAGACGATGATGTCGACAATACAGTGTCTCGCTTCTTTTCTCTCTTACATCCATCCCTCGAATCCCTCGCTCTCCTAGAGCCCCAATCCATCTCAAAAAACTGGCACGCTCGTCTTCCAGACCATCTACCCCTCCTTAGTGACCTTACCATCATCGGAACGTGCTCAGAGGGAGACCCTCCTCGCGAGTGGCTTTATACGAGACTTGTAGCACCAAATGTGCACACTCTTCGCTTAGGAAAGACTTTAGGGGAACTTCTCGTACAGCACTATGTTTATAGCTCAACCCTCATGCCTCCGTACCGCACCGTGTATCTGCTGGTTAATCCGGCAGTACAAGAGCGCGTTGCTAATTTCTTAACCTTTCGATCGAGGTTCAGTCCCCCGGATGAGATTCCGGTTTTTAACTGGCGGACAGTGGAAGACGTGTATTTCCATTTCCTACCGGAGTTAGACGCCAGTGACGAGACTATCCCGGCCCCTCTTCCGTCTCCTGTCCTCCGAAAAGCGAGAGAGACGCTGAGGACCTTACTCTCCAGACGTCTTCTCAAAGACAAACCGCGAGTGTATATGGAAGACCGGAACGAAGTTAACTGGCAGTATGTAAAGCGGGACTGGGTACGGGATGCATATCGTGGGAACGTTCGCTACATGCAGAGCGCGGAAGAGACTTAAAGGTCATCATACAAAAATGTCGTACGAATGCCATTCTATTCCACCCACGACGTGACCACAAATAAACAATATTCCTTAGAAGGTCCCGTGTTCTGCACGCTTCAACG